AAAGACTTTCTAGAACCTTCGATTATATTTGAACATCAAAAAATAAATAAATTAAAGATGGAATCATAACAATATATATATTATTATTATTATTATTATTATTTTGATTCTCGTTTTAAACGAGTAAAAAAAAAAAAAAAAACAATTTTTTACCTTTCTCTTGGTTTTGAATTATTTAACATAACAAATATTTAAAAATAACGGGGGGTTGGGGGTGGGATGGGGGGAGAGAAAGGATAAAAAAAAAATAATAATCTAACGATGGTGTACCTGTACTACCCGCAGGAAGTGTTGTTGTGTCCTAAAACGTTGGCCCAGAGCCGCAAGTTGAAGCTTAAGAGAGCCTTCACCGATGCTGCCAGCGAAACTGCCGCCTACGTCAAAACGGTACTCGTACCTCCATATTTTATAAATTCAGTAGATATATATATTATTATTATTATTTTAGTAAACACAGTTTATTATTATTATGACCGTTTCGCTATTTATTTTTATTTATTTATTTAGTTTTCATTTATTTTTAATTGGAAATTTAGTTCACCGCTTTTTTTTGCATTAGTTCCTTTTTTTTTCAATTATAAGCGCTGTTATTGAATAATAATAATAATTTTAAGAAAAAAAAATCCGTATAACAAAATTCAAGGTTTGTACTTATTATTTGCGTATTCAAAATATTTTTTATTTCGCCGCTGTTGAAAAAAAAAAAAATTATTTGTTTACTTTTTTATTTTATTTTTATATAAATTGCAAAAAAAAAAAAAAAAATTTTTTTATTCATCGTCATTTGTTTTTGTTTTTTGCAACAATCATCAAATGCTTCGAATTAATAAATATCAAGATTTATTTTAATATTTCCGGAATAAATATTTTTTTTGTTAATAAGTATAATTTAATTATAGTTAACAAAATTTTTCCATTTATTAAATATTAAAAAAGAAAAATGGGCATCATCGATAACAGTTGCGAAAGCAACAAAATTTTCTCTGTTTTTTTTTTTTTTTTTTTTTTTTACCCTCCCCCCCCCATTAATATTTAAATATTCGAGAAAAGAAAAAATAATTTATTTGAATTGGGGAAAGATGGGAAATTAAATTTTTCATTTTTTTTTTTTTTTTTCATGTCATTTATTGTTTGCTTTATTCTTAGTTTACATTTTTTTTTTTTTTTTGTAACAACTTTATTCATTTAAAAAAAAGCGTTCGTATGTACTTTTAATAATTAATTTTAAGTAAAAAATTATTGCCTCGTAATTTCCTTTATTATTATTATTATTATTATTATGTTTTTTTTTTGGGCAATAATCCTTAGAATGCTACCTTTTGCTTTTCTTTTTTTTTTTTTTTTATTGTGAAAAATATTAAAAAAAAAAAAAAAAAAAAAAAAACGTAACGTGTAGAAATGTGACGTGAAACGACGACGTAAAAGGTTTTTTTTTTTTTTTTGTTAAAAGTTAAAAATTGTGTCCGAAGCGGGACATGTTAGGCGCATGCTTTGAATAATCGCGCACATTCAATACAACCAACTAACTGACTGACTGACTGACACTGGGGAATCGCCCAATTTTCGGATTATGTCCAAGATAACAAAAAAAAAAAAAATATATATGTATATATGTACATAAATGTATCAAAACTTTCACGAGTCGGTTAATAAAAAATTACTAAAAAATCAATTTAAGTGAATTTAATAAAAGTGAGTGACAAATTATTATACAGTTGAATTAAATAATAAAAAAAAAATGAACCGATTTTAAATTCATGGACGATAATCGTGATTATATCTATAATAATAATAATAATAATGACGATAATATATATTAATATGTCTTATTTATTTAAAAATAAAAATAAAAGAAAAATTTTAAATTTTTCATTATTTTTTTGTTTGTTAATTTTAACGTTTCGGTTTTTCTTATACAGAATGGCGGCGAATGGCCTATATAAATAATTAACGGTTTTTTTTTTTTTTTTCTTTAACATAAAGAATATTTTAATTTTTTATTTCTTTGATGGAATATCGTTAAAGAAAAGAAAAGTAAATTATGTAAAAAAAAAAAAAAAAGAATGAATTAAATTAAAAGCGTTTCTGTAAAAGAAAAGAAAAAGAAAAACAATTTTTAATGATTGTTTCCGTTGAGAAAAAGAAACATTTTCCAGTTTGTATTACAAACCTTTTTGTGAGAGGTTATAGTAATTGTCATTGGTTTATAAATAAAAATGTGGTGCCTTAAATTGATATATTTGAAAGGGTTTATAATGTCATCATGTTTTTTTTAATTATGTTTTTTCGTTCAGGTTCTTATTAAATTTTGGTGAAAATCTTAAACCTTCTGTCAACGTTCAAAGGGCAGGCGATCTTTGTCCTCATATAATAAAACAGGTGAATTATTTTTTTTCACCATGATGCTCTCGCTTATTTTTATCGCTTTTATTAAATATTAATAATAATAATAATTATTATTATTATTATTAAGTTGAATGAATTTTTTTAAACAAATGTAAACATATACATAAATAACGTATTTTATTCTGCTCGCGAAAATTTTTATTTTAAATTGCTTTTCTTAGTTTTTTTTTTTTTTTTAATGGTTTAAAATTTTATTTATTTATTTATTATTATTATTTAACGATTAGGCTACGGTTTACATTTAAAAAAAAACATTTGAATTAGACGTCGTATTTTATTACTAGTTAATAGATGGTTTTTTTTTTAAAAATGGCTCTTTTATTAATTATTTAGGAGATTTTTTTTTAGTTTTACATATATATATAAGATATCATACATATATATCGTGACTTTAGTGTGCTTGAAAAAAAAATCTGCTATTATTAATAATCATTTAATTTAGTTTCATTCGTGCAAGCATGCAGGCAAATAATTTAATATGCATTTTAGCCTTTTAGATCAATTATTATTATTATTAGTATTGCAATCGAAAAATCAGAATTATATAGTGAGTTGGTAATTGAAAACTTATTGATTTAATTAACAAAAAAAAAGAAAAAAGAAATTGTTATCATTATCATTATTATTTTGTCTCTCTTTCTCTTTCACCCATTCATACTCGTTTTAAAAAAATTTTTTTTTGTTAAAAGTTACGTACTTTACGGTTAAATAAAACAATGAATAAAATTTGTTGGTAATTCTATTAATATTTAGTTTTTTAAAAAAATTTATTTATTTATTGAAAAATTAGTCCGTTACATAGAAATACGCGTAATAAATAAAAGAAAATAGGAGGAAGGAATTTATTATTAAAACGTAATAATAAAGAATAATATGATGAAAAAATTAATAATAGTATTATTATCAATTGTTATTAAGTCGAGGATGATTAAAAATCCTAAAAAAAACATTCACGGAAATAATTCATTAATAGACAGATAGTGGAAAGTTAATAAATTAATAACATCGTAATTATTGGTCGATGCTAATCTGCTACATCAAGAGGATACCATTAAAGGTAATAAATAATCATTTTTCCTTTTTTCCATTAACCCCCCCCCACGCTATTAATTATTTATCATTCATTTCAGAAAAAAAAAACAAGAGTAATTATCCGTGTTATTATTATTAATATTTAAAAAAAAAAATTATTGTTCGAATGTATACGTTATGATTATTTAGTAAGGTAAGTTTTCCGGGAGCAAATTTATAAAATTTTTTTTTTTATAATAATAATAATAAATGAATGAAGAATTTAATTAACGAATCACATCATTCGCGATGAAATTTCTTTTCTTTTTTTAACGCTCTACAAATGTTAAAATTCGGATAAATGACGGTGGTTTTTCCACTTGGAAAATATATTTAATAAAATGATAAAAATTCAGTAAATTTACGTCATAAATTTATAATTAAATTTATTTATACCTTTTTGAGTAAGTAAGGAATGTTTTTTTTACCTGACAAAAACATTCCAACGAAAATTTTTCACACGAAATTAACATTAAAAGGGTTTTTTGCACGTATTAACGAAATATTTTTTTTTTTACTTTTAAACGTAAGCATACGCAAATACCTGCGTGTAAGTGCGTACGTATATTATAAAATAAATAAAATTTTAATAACGAAAAAGTATTAAAAAAAACGGTTTGAACACGTGTTTATTAAAATCGATAACGAAGTTTAAATAAGTATTAATTCCGATTAGCGACCGATAATAATGACATAAATTATTATTTTTTTTTAATACCATTTTTATTAATTAATAAAAATAAGGCTTAAAAAAAAATATATATGTCAATTAAGTTAAAGGGATAAAATATATAGATTTAAGTAAATTAATTTTTGCTACGTTGACGTTTTTTTTTTTTTTTTTTACATATAAAGATTTATTTATTAATAAATGAATTAACTTTAACGTAATTGTATTAATAATATTATAAATGCTCTCTTATTTGCAATTTTAAAAAAGTCAATTAAAATTTTTTTTTTTTTATCGGTATTAGTGCATTATTATTATTATCATTTGACAGTGATATTGATGATTTAACCATATACCTGATTTTTTAAAATTTTAATTAAAAGGGAATAAATAATTGTGCGTTCACACTCTTATAATAACAAAATGTGTTCATTGTTTCAGCTTCGAAAGCCTGTTTCCACGCTCTCGATCCCGGCGACCATGAAAGGTCCGCCTGGTCGAGAGGGTAGCGTCGGAGGAGAAGATGCCGGTATCGCATTAGTAGGTGTTCATTCCGACTATCCAAAATATGCAGAAGACCGAGGAAACATGCAAGGAAAGGTAAAAAAAAAAATTTTTTTTTTTCATTCTCATACTATGATTTTAATATTTTATAACTCAACACAGGGGTTCGTGTATTATTATTACAAATTTATTTATTTTTTTTTTTTCATTTTGAATTTCAAATGTAAAATTATACGTTTTTACTTGTTTTTTTTTCTTTTATTAAAAAAAAAAGAAAAAAAAAGAAGCTAATAAAGAAATTTTTATTTACGTGTAATTTCTTTTTTTTACTATCGAAACAATATGATGAGAAAAAAAGAAATTTTTTTTTTTTTAATGTGTGATTGAAATGAGAGAACGTTCGCGGAGTACAAATGAAAATATTTTATTTAAATAGTAAAATTTTATTCAGGGAAGTCCAGGAAGAAAACATAAACCCAATGTAGGCTACAGGTTAGGACAAAAAAAAGCACTTTTTGAAAAAAGAAAAAGAATAAGCGATTATGCATTAGTTATCGGAATGTTTGGCATTATCGTCATGGTAATGGAAAACGAACTATCCAGTGCAGGTGTATACACAAAGGTATAATATAAGATTTTTTTTTAAAAAAAAAAAAAAGGAAAATTCTTTTTATTAATAGTTAAATCGTTAATAACACACACACACACACACACACACACACACACACACATACAGTTGTCGAGATTGTTAAAGGATCGATATCGAATTTTCTTAACAAAAAAAAAAAAAAAACAATCAAACTATCGAAAAAAGTTTGTTTTTTCAATTATCCAAAAGAAAATAAAATAATAATAATAATGATTGATTTTTTTTGTTTGGAATTAAAAATTTTATGCTTGTTTTTTTTTTTTTTTTATTAGCCGCCATTTTGGAATAAGAAACATACATATATATATCGTGTGCATTTAGAAAATTATTCGTAAATTTTAAATTAGTTGGGATATAAATAAAATAAAAACTTTATTGAGTAAAAAAAGTTAAGATTTTTAAATCCACATGCCAAACTCGTCGTTAAAATGAAAATTTTAACCACATAAGTGATTCGTTTCGATTCTGGAGGGGGGGGAGAGGGAAAATAATTATTAAATAATTGATTATTTTAAAATGAAATATAAATAAATATTATTATTGTTTTTCAGGCCTCATTTTATTCCACCGCACTCAAAACTCTTATTTCTGTATCAACTGTGATTTTACTTGGATTGATTGTGACTTACCATGCACTTGAAGTACAGGTAAATTTATTTATTTATTTATTTATTAATATTCACGTTATTAAAATTTTTACTTTTAATTTTTTATTTAGATTTTTCATTTAAAGTTAAAATAAAAAGAAATATTTGTTTTTTGTGTTTTTGAAATTAAAATTTTTCTTCTTTTTTTCATTTCAAACTCATGAGTAGTTATTCTACTAAATTATTATTAATAATATTTTATTTAATGTTCAAAATGCATGGGGACACCAATAGAAATTAGATTATTGATCATAGTTTGCAACGCCCAATTAAAATATTATTAATTTAAGGAATTTATAGTATTTACGGTATTTTCAGTAAAAAAAAAACAAAAAAGATGAATTTTCACTTGTAATTACTGGGCGTTCGAATGCGTCGTAATTTACATATATTTTTACATTTTTTTTTTTCAAGTAAATAAGAATAAATGAAGTCCATTAAATAATTACTTTTATAAAAATGGTTTTTTTTTTTAAATACTCTTTCAAAAAAATTTTTTTTTTTTTTTTATGCAAAATTGATAAAAATAATTAAACCAGGTAAAAACATGGATGCACGCACGCACGTTCGCACGCACGTACATAAAAGTAATAAAATATTTTGCCCCGAAACTATTTGTGATTAAATGAAAATGAAAAAAAAAAAAAAAAAAATTTTCCCGCATTTTGTTGTGCGTGTGTTTTAGTTAATAAAAAAAAATTTACAATTGAATAAATTTTATTGATTTTTATTATTTGAATTTTTGAATCATAAGCATTAACAACAAATATCAATGTCAATAATAATAATTTAAATTTCTCTCCCCCCCCCCACCTTCCACCCCTTTTTATTTTTTTGTATACAAAGTCAAATAAATCTTTAACAAAGCATAAAAAAGAAAAAAAAATTTTCGCCCTTTTTTTTTTTTTTTTTAATTATTAAAATGAAAAGTTGTAAAACTTACTTGTTTTATTTTCCGGAAACAATGGGAAAGAAAAAAAAAAAAAAAAAAAAAAGAAAAGTTATTTAAATTTTAATGTAAATGGAAATTAAAAAGGAAAAAAAAAAAAAAATTAAATACGAGAGTGAGGCCATTAAAAGTTAAATATTTTTTTCCTTTTTTTTTTCTTCCTCTCGGGGTTTTTTTTTTTTTTCTTGAATTTATTTTATTTATCACAATCCTTAAAACTCGATTCACTGTTTAATTACATGGTAACAAATATTATTAAAAAAATAAAATACATAAACAGTTATTAATTGTAAAAAGAAAAAATTAAATTTTAAATCGTAGAAGCGAAATTTCGTTAAAATAATTATTATTTTTTAAAACGGAATTTTTTATAAAAATATGTCGGTTTTTTTTTTTAAAACTAATTACATGAATTTAAAGACGATGGCGTTAATCAAGAGTTTTAAAAAAAGTATTTATTGTCCTCTTTTAGTGATATTGAAAAATGGAAAAAAATTAAATTCAATCATTTTTTTTTTTTTTATTCAATATGATAAATGTAACACACGCTTGAGATTTTTTTTTTTTTTACCGATAAAATTGTAAAATAATAATGGTAATGGTATAAAAAATTATTTCGAGGCTTAAAAAATGTTCATCCGACCTTATTGAAAGATATAAAACGAATATTGTGAGTGAATAAATAAAAAAAGGAAATTTTCCTTTAACATAAAAAATTTAAAGAGTAAATAATTGATGCTTTAGATCCGAATGAAAATATTGATGGACGGCGTTCTTGTTGTCAATTGGAGAAATAGAAAAAAAAAAAAAAAAATGGATGGTCCTGATGTCGGTAAAAAAAAGGAAATTAAAACAAAAAACGGTACACAGGATCAGGATTTTTTTTTTTTTTTCGAAAAAAATACGAATTTGTTTGTCACACATGTCTAAAACAATCGATTGTCGGTTACGTGTCCAACAAACAAATCAACCATCATCATCATTAGACACACAATAATATTGAAAAAAGGCACGAATTATAAAAATAAAAAAAATTCATGTGAGTTTTGCACCCGCGGAAAACAAAAAAAAAAAATCATAAAATTGAAATAACGGAAATATTGTGGTTTAAGTTTTAAAGAATCCGAAAGCTGTTACAACCATCGATTTATTGGAAATTCGAAAAAAGAAAATTTATTGAAATTGAAAATAAGAAAAAAATGATAATGGAAATCCCTTCGAGCGTCCATTCCTTGAAAATCGAATCCAGGATAAAAAATAAAATTAAAATGATAAAAAATTCTGACAAACTTTAAGATTTTCTTGTGAAAAACTAAAAAAATAGTAATGTCGGCTGGAGTTATTATAATCGCATAAAGTTACTACTAATCATTCTATCGAGAATTTTCGTTTAAAATTAATTTAATTTTATAATTTCAGTTATTCATGATTGATAATTGTGCAGACGATTGGAGAATTGCAATGACCTGGCAAAGAATATTTCAAATATCAATAGAATTAATTATATGCGCAGTACATCCGATACCGGGACAGTATTATTTCTTGTGGACCACAAAATTAGCCAACAAAGGTAAATATTATATTATTTATAGTAGTAGTAATAATAATAATAAATAAATGATATGTACATTTATTCAGGTGGCGATATAGGATCCAGATGGGTTCCATACGACGTCACTCTTTCATTGCCAATGTTTTTTCGCCTTTACCTCATTTGTAGAGTAATGCTTTTACATTCGAAACTTTTCACGGATGCCTCTTCAAGGAGTATCGGAGCATTAAATAGAATAACTTTCAACACAAGATTTGTACTTAAAACATTAATGACGATTTGTCCGGGAACTGTTTTACTTGTCTTTATGGTTTCCCTATGGATCATCGCCAGTTGGACACTCAGGCAATGCGAGAGGTAATCATTTCCGTATACTCACATACGTCGAATCACACACACACACACACACACACAAATATCAATCCAAGATTTAAATGAAAAATGAAAAAATTACAGGAAAATATTATTTTTCCATTCGTTTCGAATGGAATCATAAAATTTATTGAAAAGTTTTTTTTTTTTCCCACCAATATGAAAAAAGGAAAACTGTATTTATGCCTTAAGATGATGTCCCATTTTTTATTATGAATATAAAAAAAAAAAAAGAAAAAATTTTCTCTGCCATGTGGATATATATAAAAATAATAAAGTTTTTTTTTTTTTTTTTGGATTTTAATTATTTATAAATAAATCTTTCGGTCGTAAATAATAAAATGACATTTAAATTAATTTTTAAATAACTTAATCGCTTTGTGTGGTTACTGCTTTTTTTTGTAATATTAATGACTGCTAATAAAATAAGTTATTTTTTTTTTAGATTTCACGATGAGGAACATGCAAACCTTTTAAATGCCATGTGGCTAATAGCAATAACATTTCTCAGCGTGGGATTCGGGGATATTGTGCCAAACACATATTGCGGACGAGGAATAGCAGTTAGCACGGGAATGATGGTTCGTAGTTTTTTTAATTTAAATAAATCCATTATCCATTGATTGTGATATAATTTTATTTATTTTTGAATTGAAATAAAAAAACAATAATAATACAACAACAATAATCTAACAACCAAATTTTATTTTTATTTATTTCAATTAATATTTTCGCTTTATTACAAATTTTCACTCTCTCTAGATAATAATTATTTTCAGGCTTTCATAAGTGTTTTTTTTTTTTTTTTTTTTTATTGTTTCACGAGACATTATAATAAGTATAATATTTTAGGGTGCCGGTTGTACAGCTCTTTTGGTTGCCGTCGTGTCACGTAAAATGGAACTAACAAGAGCTGAAAAACACGTGCATAATTTCATGATGGACACTCAACTCACCAAACGGGTAATTTCCCTTTTTTCGCTATATATAATTTTATTTTTATTTATTATTTTAATTTTTAAAACTTTTGTTTAATATTGTGATTTCAGTTAAAGAATGCGGCGGCAAACGTTTTGAGGGAAACTTGGCTTATATACAAATACACGAGATTGGTAAAGAGAGTAAATCCCGGGCGGGTTCGCACTCACCAGAGAAAGTTCCTACTTGCCATATATGCGTACGTTTTTTTAAAAAAAATTTAATTAATTAATTAAAATAAATATGATGACTGTCAATTTTTACTAATTTTATATTATTTTATTTTATCTTTTTTTTTTTTCTTGGTGTGGGGGGGTTTATGTTGAATAATTATCAACAGCTTGAGAAAAGTTAAAATGGATCAAAGAAAACTCATGGACAATGCTAATACAGTTACTGATATGGCAAAGGTATTAAATAAAAATCAAAGTTATCTTTAGCATTTTTCTGTATATTTAAAAAAAAAGCTTTTACCAGTCTTAGTCTAACAAAAAAAAAAAAAATTAATTTTTCATTAAAATCGATACATGATAAAAATAATACATAATCAATCAAATGATCTGAAAAGATTTTTTTATTTTTTTTTATTTACAGACTCAAAATTCCGTTTATGAAATAGTTTCGGATATGAGCAGTCGACAGGATACATTAGAAGAAAGACTCACAAGTTTGGAAGACAAATTAAATGCCATACATGAGAAAGTAGAATTTTTACCCGACCTTATTTCAAGGTAAGTCTAAACTAATAACAAAAAAAAAATTAACTTTATATGTATGTGTGTGTGTGTGCGTGTGCGTGTGCGTGCGTAGACGTTCGTTCCTTCGATGATAAGATTTAAATTTTTAAGATGCCTGACACAGTTTTTTGAAAAATCGGACAACCGTAGAAATTTTTTACATCCGGATGCGGCTTCTTCTATAACTCCGGTACAATCAAATGCTAACATAATTAATTCCGGTGGTGGTGGTGCAAAAGGACCCGTGGCGCCTTCGACTTTATATTTTATGCCTTCACCGAGTCAAATTCCGTCTCCTCCGCAAACGCAGAACAAAAATGTTCCGCCGAACTGTTGCACCAACTATCATTGGCCAACTTCAAATTCTTCGTCCGTCAGCGTTAGAAATCATTCGCCTACACAAATTCCGGATTCCAGTTGAGATTTTCTTTCCTGACGGTTGTTACCATTAATTTTAAATGAACTCGAGTAAAATATTGTTGTGCCGATAAAAATAATTTTTATATGAGGCGAAAAATATGATCTTTAAACAAAAAAAAAAAAAGAAGCTCAAAACGTTTTTAAATAATAATAATAGTTTAGTAAAACTAAAAAAAATACAAAATTCAAATAACACTCCCTTAATCTTTTTTTTTTATCACAGCACTGGAAAAAATAAATACATAAATAACGTTCTTACATGCATGGGATGCACACACACATACACACATACACATACAAATTGCGCGATTTATTTAATACATCGTTACATGAAATAATACATAAGTCTTATTATTTTAATTTTTAGTTTCATTAAAAAAAACCCAAATTAATCATTGCATGAGCGCGCACACATTAAAAATTAAATAAATGAAATATGTATTTAACACATTGTTAATATTAATAAAAATATTTTTTTAAAATTATGACTAAAATAGGCAATACTAACATTTATAATATAGTAATATAAAATTAATATATATATATATATATATAAATTTTTTTTTTACTATAGTTTTTAAAATGATATAAATTTTATTATATTTATTTATATTTTCCATTGGGTAAAAAAATATTTTCATGTTTTTATAATTAGAAAATGAAATGATAAAGTAAATAATTTAAAATGAATTCCCAAACGTAATAATCATCTATTAAAGAAACAAAATTTTTATTTCGAAAAAAAAAATATATATATATATATATATAGAGTTCATATAACTCGGGTGCGTGGGTGATGGTCTTAATTATCAGTTTTATTTATTTATTAATTTTTTTTTTTTTTGTTCCCCCGTTAGGAAGTACGGATACTTCAATTAATTTACACAATTTTCCCTTAGGATAATATCCGGTTTTGTCGGGAGGCACATTTTTGTCCTTGTGAATTTGTTGGTTGTACAAAACTGTGTGAATGAAGAATCCCGTTAAATGTGGTTGTATACCATTTCTTCCGGTCTATTTGATTTTAATGTTTTTTTTCTAAACATTCATGTTTTATATTCGATGTCGGACATCCGGTCGAAAGTTTTTAATTCTGATTGAAAAATTCGAAATTTGTCACAGTTGATATTTTCCTTGTTTTTAGGTCTAGGTGCGAAATTTTATATTTTGCTCAAGAGACGAGGCTAAAATTCTGTTTATTCTATTACTGTAGTATACCTCTCATTCTTTAAAAATATTATTTTGTTTGGAGTTTGGTTGTTTTTTTTTCTTTGTGAGTCATATAAAAATTTTCCTACAGCCCAGAGTACCCGTCGGATGTTGTTACTGGATCAAACACTTTGATGAAGTCCTCTTCGTTAACGTGTTCCTTCTTTTTTTTTTTTTTTTCAAATATGTTCATTAACAAAAACATATGGGTAATTTTTTCGTTTCCCTGGTTCCAATTCGGATCTTGGAATTTTAACATAGCAAAGAAAAAAAATTACTCTTATAAAATTCTTAAACAACAAGATATAATGTAATTTTTGATATAAAATATTAACTAATAATTAATACCATTGTTACAAACTTTATTCCATATTTAAATGCTGATTTATTCACATTCAACTGAAATGTAAACTAAAAAATCATGCAGATTATGACTTTTTTTTAAATTTATTCAAATATTATCCTTTTGTGATTTTTTGATAAAAATTATTTTTATATATATTTTTATCTGAATGTATCTAATTGCTCTTGAATTTTATCCAATTTTTGATAAAATTCATATAACTGTTCATGATTGAATTCCAAATTTAAATCCTTTCTTTCGTTTAATGATGTTAGAGACAGTTGTAAATTAGCTTTGGGAGATTTTTCAATAGCCGAGGATTTTGAAGCAGCTTCCACAGAAACAGCATAAGAGATTTGATTCAACTAAAAATAATGAAAATTAAATTTTCATTTACATGATTCATTGAATCTTATTAATAATAATAATAAGCAAAGATTGATAGTCATTATTGAATAAAATACCTGAGGAAAATAGGTTTTATGTTTAAAGTTGTTCACAATGTTTCTCGCAGAAGCTGTCCATGCTTGTACAAATATCTCAGCTTTATTAGAATTTAAGGACAAACATTTTTCCAATTGTTCGCTTAATATGGAGGGCTTAACAACATAGTAAGCACAAACATTGAATATTTCAATTATTCCCTCTATAATTGTTGAAACTTCTTTTTTTGTTATTTCCAAAGAATTTTCTAATTTAGCTTCTTCCACATCAGTAAATGGTCTTATTAATACTCCATCCGATAAAAATTGAGCTATCCTATTTAATAGTAGAATAAATTTTCCTTCTTCTATCGAGTTTATAATTTTAACTGAGTCATTAATTCTGAAAAATAAATAAATAAATAGAGTAAAATATAAAAAAGTAATAATGATGAAATATATATATATATATATATATATATATATATATATATATATATATATATATTTCTTATTATTTAAACAAATAAGTAAATAAAAAAAAAATAAATCTAACACAATACAAATGACACATTAACAAAAAAAAAACATTTTAGGCTTTTTTACGCTTCGTTTAGTGAATTAATTAAAATTGTGATATTTAAAATACAAACAGACACATATATATATATATATAATAAAAAATTATTTAACGTCGCTTACTTTTGATTTCCTGAAAACATTATCTTGTCGTGATCTATGACTTTAATTTGATATTAAACACAGACATATAAACTTGCATTTACATGATTAATTCTAACCATTACCGTAAACGTTTTACTAATTAAATTGATAAAAAACTTGTTTCCTATTATTTATTATCATTTTATTCTGCTTTACATTTGTGACAAATGTGTTTGATTTAAGCAATGAAATTTATTTGGAAGCCAACCGGTTGTTCCTCTTTGTTATTTTGTTTAATTTCGCGCCAAACGTGTCGTATGAAAATTATTAGATGATGCTTTGAAATTATCAAATTCCAGGATTCCTAAAATATAAACACGTAAATAAATGTTTGAATCATTTTTAAAAACTCTCTGAGAATTTTTATCGATATGTAATCAATGCAACACAATTATGAAATGTCTTTATATATATTTTTTTTTTTGTTTTTCTAAAAACGAATTTTTATGAATCGTTACATTTTACCTGAATTACATTGAAAAAATTACTTCATTTCAATTATTTAATAATTGTTGTTAAATAATTTATTTAGTAAAATTTTTATCACATAACTTTAGAATAATAATACAAAAATAGATTCGATTATCATGTTGAATAATTATTAATTTTAAGTAGAGTCCGTTTGTTTTTCCTTATTTGATTAAAAAAAAAAAAAAAAAAACCCTAAAAACTAAAGGCTATAAAATTTAGTTTCTTTTATTTCGACAGGGGGGGGGAGAAATGTAATTTTATGTAAACGTAATTCAAATGACAATAAAAAAAAAATTTGAAAACTCGAAAATCTAACAATTATAAATAACCGAAATGATAAAACCGGGGGAAGGGGAGGGAAAAATAACGAATTCGTCGAGGGTCAAATTTTAATTATACAAATCCAAGTTTAATTGAAGCAAAATAATAAAAAAAAAATGTATGATAATTATTATTATTGTTTATATTACGTTTAACAAATAATATAATATGAATGTATATAATATTAATTGAATGATTCTAATAAATGTTTAATGTCGTTCAATAAGATAGATCCAATAACCATTTTTTCACAATTGACTGAAATAAATATTTTAGAATCTTCGAGTTTAATTGTGATTAAAATTAATGATTTGGCCGATATCGTCTCTCCGGCAAACCTAAAATTTAAAAAAAAAAAAACAAAATTAATTCTTAAAAATGGCATTTATATATATATGTGTGTGTGTGTTTAATTGTATTTCCAATATTCCTTCTTTTTTTTGTATTAAATATTTTAATGAATTGATTGTGCGGAAAATGACATTATTTTATAATTAATATCATTTTACTTTGCTTAGGTTTAGAGTTTAAAGTAAAAAAGTTTTTACCTTAATATATTTCCTTCGGTTGAGGGAATGGAACCAACATTAACGAACTCTAATACTTTTTGAGCAACGGATTTTAACTCCACGCAGCATCTGTACCAAAATAAAATTTATAAAAAATCATTTATACGTTTCACACATTATGAAATAAGGCATAAAAAACTTACCCTTGTGACGCGGGAATTTCTACCGAATGTTCATTCATTCCACGAAGTTTATTTCTTTCGGTAATAAATAAGGTTTCCGGCATTGAAACAGCCCTTAATATTTCTCCAATTGGAATTTTTAATGAAACGTTTATATTTCTTCCAGAGCCGGTATTTATAGTAAAATGTACGGGATGAGTTGAATCGTTTATATCAACTCCTATCAATTCAGATTGCCTAGAATTAACTTTAAGACACGAAATAGGAGTGAAACCGTGAATTATGATCCCTTGATTAGAATCCTGCGTAAAAAAAAAAAAAAAAAATTATCGTTTTTCTATTCATTTGAATTCAGTATTCATATATATATATATATAGATACGGTACCTTTGAATCTATTTTAATTTCCGTTACGTCATCTGGTCCATGATTAATAAATGTGAGTTCGATTGAAATCATTTTGTATGAAAATAGGTGAGGAGATCGCGTGTACCTGAAAGGCAAAAAATTTCATTTTTATTTCTGTTATTGATTCGTGTAAACGGGTTTATTAATTTTAATAAAAAAATAAAATAAAATCACAAATTTTAGTGATATTCGTTCGCGTTGTCTCAATCTAAAAAAATTAAATTTGGCCACTTATAATAAAAAAAATATAAATAAATATAACGCTTAACGTTCTTAATTTTTGAAAACGACAATTTTTAATAAAATTAAATAAATTATTTTTTACCGATATTCCACACTTAAACCTCCTCCATTTAATTTGTTTACTAATTCTTTTCCTTTATAAGATACATAACTGGGTCCCACAGTTTCAATTGATTGAACTTTAGTGTGACTTACTGAGGATGCGTTATTAGTAAAACCTCCGAGGGACGGAGTTAATACTGGAGCCGTTGAAGGAAGAGCTTAAAAAAAAAAAAAAAAAAAATAATAATAATATTAGAAAAACTTTTTATCCATCATTTTAATTAGATTTCAAAATTATTAGTTATTAAAAATTTACTACCATCATTTAATTCCAATAAAAGATCTAAATTTGTTTTGGTATCACCAAAATTAGAATATTTATTATAATTCTGATCGTTATTAAAATTGTTTCGTTTATTATTTTCATTATCGCTAGCATCATCGTTATCATCATCATCATTATCATCATCATCACTGGAGTCGTCACCTTCGTCATCTTCATCGTCATCGTCATCGTCCTCCTCCTCCTCATCTTCATCATCCTCCTCCTCATCCTCCTCATCATCATCATCTTCTTCATCATCCTCATCCTCATCATCATCATCGTCATCATCATCATCATCATCCTCCTCCTCCTCCTCATCATCATCATAATCGTAATCTTCATCATCAATACTATGAACCTATTTAAATATGATATAGCATGATAATTTCATTTTTTAATAGAGTAAATTGTAAAAATAATTTTGTTGATATTCGAAGCTCATAAAAAAAAAAAAAACTAATTATTATATTTACATTAGGTTTTAACTTATTAGTTAGATTTTTCTTCTTTTGAAGTTTTCTTTGAAAAATGTCATCATAATCTCGCGATTCTTTACGTGACACCCTTTGTTCATTGTTTAAATCGCATTCTTCTTTATTCTCACTGCTTTCTTCGTTGGATGAATCTAAAAAATTATTATAAAAATCGCTTTTAATATATTAAATGATACTAAAAGTAACAAGTAATAAATAAAATTTGTGTTGCGTTTTGAATTACTATAAAACACTCATAAGTGAGGTAAATGCGGTTATAATAATACTTTTTTTTTTTTTTTTTTTACGACAACATACATATTTTAAAAAATGAACCAACCTTCTGATGAATTTTGATCCGATTCCGAATAAAATGATTTTTTTTTTCCCATTTTTTTAGTTTTGTGTTTAAGATTACCCGGATCGGAATTTTCAATAGTAATTTCTACATTTCTAACACTTTGATCTGGCGCGACTTCGGGAAATGATGGCAGGTCGTGATATCCTATAGCACGGGAATCGATGTAATGAGATAAAGATCCCAACTGGAATCGTTGTCTTCCTAACGTACAGAAAACATTAAAAATAATTTATTTTTAAATAATGTTGCCTAATTATCGTAAGTTTAAAATTAAAAAAATTTATTGCCTTTAAATTTCGATTCTAAAACGGGAGCCGGCTTGGGCGCCAAAAATATTTTTTTTGCTTGTTTTTCAAGTTTTGAATTTTCCGAAACGGGTGACATGATAAACAACTTGAGAAATCTTGCTCTGTCTCTAAGGTCGTAATTCAGATCGTACCTAGCTAGAGTAAATACGTACTGGCACAAGGCAGCGGTTTGAGAAGAATTAGTCAGGTGCAATTTCACTGCTAAATTTAATACTTGCTGCTTAACTATGTCTTCCTATCAAAAATTATTATTATTTTTTGTGTAAATAAAATTACGTTATTTATTTATATACTATAGAAAAATTTATGAATGAATATTAATGTTTCATAACACAACCTCATTAGTAAACGTTTTGGCTATCTTTCTAAGCACATCTGGAGCAATTTTTGGAATTCTTTCGCAATATTCTCCCAATAGCCAAACTATAGAAGCTCTTGCTTGGGGTATCGTTATATGATCTAATAATTTGGCCATGTGTTTGATAATATCTTGGTGCGTGTGAGGTTGAGATTGAAATAGTTTTTTAATAACCACCACACTTTCCGCCACAACACTTTCTGTTACGAAAAAATAAAAAGTATTATAATAATATTAAAATTGAACATAGCTATTCATCATTTATTAAAAATTTACCATCGCGATTTGACAGCAAAGATACCAAACCAGCCAAACAAGTATCCGTCACTTCTTTAATTACTGCCGCACATCGGCCAATGGCTTGTATTGCTGCAGCAACAAAAATTTTATCATTGCTGGATATGTAAGTTTGAAATTCTCGTAATATCACACCAATATTTACTTCATTTCCCAAATTCGTTAAAATTTCCAATTTCAATAATTTTATATGGGTTGGATCATTGGTTCGCACAAAAAAACTTTGAAGAAAAGGTTCGAACATACCCTAAAAAACGTAATTTTATTTTTTATCAATTAAAAAAAATTCGATTTCTTGTTTTACGTTTTTAATTAAGTTTATGTTTTGTCTAAAACCCTTCAACTGATTATGCTAACTATTAAAAATAGTGCTTTTATATAAAAAAAATACTTAAAAAGAAACAATAATAATAATACATTTCTAGTTCATTTATTAAATTCAGGTTATAATTATCCATTTTCTTACGTATATGAATTATTTATTTTATTTTACTGCTAGCCGTCACAAAAATTTCAATATTTATATCATTTTTGATAAATTCATTTTATATATATTTACCTTTCTGAGTGTGGATAGAGAGGCTATACAATTAAGAACCACAGATTGAACTTCCCGTCGTGATCGTAATAATCTTATTAAAGCTTTAGCAACTATCAAAACTTCAGATTTTGGAGCAATGTGATGATAAAGCTGCGCAACAGCCATCACTACCTAAAATATATTCCATAATCAATCAGACTCGCGTAGAATACAGATTAAATGAAAAATATTATTACAGATGTGAAAAGAAAACTAAAAAATTAAGTTTTTTAATAATTGAAAATGTACACATAACTTTAACATCATTCAATTCTTACTTATGTTTCATTAAAATATATAATTGAAAAAAAAAAAAAAAAAATTGACTCACTGCCGCGTTACAACTTTGCAACAAAGGCTTAGTTTGCTTCAAAAGTAATCTGTGATCCGGATCTAAAAGTAAAATATTATTTCCTTGCTCCATATCACGTTTTCTTTCATCTTCTGATTTTTCTGAATCGTCACACAAGGCCTGAGTTTTCACTTCGTTTTCATTCTAAATTATTTTAAAGCAAACAGAAAATATATACCTTGATAAGATGTCTCAAGTTTTGTTGGACAACTTTCATTATACAAAAAAAATTGTTTCAATTTTATTTTCTTACATGATTGTTGGGATCAATAAACTGAGTTCTTCCATATCTTGTAAGCATATTCATAATAACAACTTGGCCCCATTCATCTACATCGATTAACAAGTTACAAAGCTTCCTGTAATTTTTATGAACCAAATCAATTCTTTCAGGGCAAACTTCCTCAAAAGCCATTACAGCAGATCCTACCACTAATGTAGTCTTATCAGCTAATAACTTGTCAATCAATTGCACAAGATCTTCTTTCTGTTCAGGATCAAGTCTAAAATTAAAAAATTTTTGCATGCTTAAACATAAAAAGCAAAACATTATTAAATTATAACTTGGGAAAAAAATATTACAAGGATATTACCTAAACAACTTAGGAATGGCATGAGCAGCAGTTTTTCTGACATATGGTGACATATCACAAGCAGAATCCTTAATGGCTAACATTACAATAGGTACAATCATAGGAACTCTAATACTTGACAAAACCCTAAGTGCACTGGCTCGAATCAACTGATTGTGATCCTGAATTATAAATTTTTGTGTAATTTACATTTTCAATCTGACATTAATTTCTCATTTAATGCTTTTATTCAAAACAATTAGAGCATTGCCTTTAAATAATCCTTTAAAATTTTAATTATATATGATTATACTAATTGTGTATGTGACAATTTTAAAAAGTTAAATGATAAAGTTATAATATTAATATGATTACATTACCTTTAATGCTCTTTGAAATGTAGAAATTGACAAAAGAGCTAAATCTTGTTGCTCCTCCGCATATCTAACAAGATAAACATAAACTAATTTTTTAACTTCCAGATTTTTAGACACCACATTTTTAACAACAGCAGGAAATAAATCAGAAGCATCTCTACCTTTGGCAATCATGCCTATAATTCTTTTCATAGCTTCTAATTTCAAGCCATCTTTGTTAGCGTCTAACATTTGCTTCAAGTCATCATGTCTGAAATATTATATTTTAACTGTTAATTTTTACTTTTTCATACATCATTGTCACAAATATTAAAAGTAAAATTCAAGCAAAATACTGTAATAAAAAAAAAAAACCTTTGACAAGTGGAATTTTTAATATTTTTTTGGAAAAAATCAATATTGCTAGAAACACTTATATTCAGTCCATATTCTTGATAATCAGTATCAGGGAAATAATTGAAATAAGGCAGTCCTAAAAATTGATGACATTCTTCTGGACAAAGAAGCATTTTTATTTAAATTATTAAACTTCTGTTGTAAAAGCACAGTTCACAATTGAAATTAATAGAAGTTTCAACATGTTCAATGAAAAGGAAATAAATCTAATATTTACAAAGTTATTAATTAAAGTAAATTTTGAACTGACCTTTGTCCCTAAATAAAAGATACAAATTTAAGTTATCATGAAATAATTTTTCTTTAAATATGTAAAATTTGGTTAATTTTACTAATTTGACCATCTTTTTTTTTTTTTTTAATTGCAAAGTTGCACTTTTAAAAGTTCACACTAACTGACAAAACTGGTTGCATTATTGAAAATTATTTATTTTTAAAAAGGAAAAGGTCATCTTTTAAAAATCTTATTATTATTCAGATATATATTACAGGTAAATGACATAAAAAGCGGACGATTGCATTAAATAATAATTTCAAAAATTATTATTACTATTTCATAGTCTTACTTTTTGTAATCAGAATGAAAAAAACCTCCTGATGCAGGATCAACAGCATATTCGCAATCCGCCACAATTGAACGGTCATTGCAAGAAGAATTACCATTGTTATTCGACATAATGATGAGGGTCACAAATATTTCATCTATACAAATGATTATACGAAACTTTTTATTAAAAAAAAAAAAAAAAGAAATAAAGAAAAATATATATGTAGGACTTATTTCACATTATAGTTCAAAAGTATACATCAAGATAAGACGTGGCAGAAATCTATGTTAATAGTGTCGTAGTGAGTTTTTTAACCCGCAAAATGAGTAGAAGAAATTTTTTTAAAAAAAATTTTTCTAGTTTAATATTGTAATATTTAAATAGTTTCAAATTTGATAATATTTTACTTATTTGAGAATTGTTAATTTTTAAAAGTAATTCTTTATTAATTTTTATTATATTTTATAATTTAATTTTATTATTCATATCGCGGTTTTTTTTTGTTATTTTTATCTTTAATGCACCTAAATATTTTTTTATATTGAAAAAATAATAAATTAATTTAATAAAAATGATATTCAGGAAGTTACATGATATTCAAAATACGAATTTTTGAAAAAATTTAATTTATTAAATTGATGATGAAATGCCAATATTAAAAATTAAACAATACGATCATTCTCATTGCAGGATTGAAGGAAAAAATTTATTTAAATGATGTGGTTTGTTTAATTTATTAAATTAATATTTAGATAAGTCAATGTGTTTGACACATTCAAGTGTTATTTTGTTAACAATGAGTATATAAGAAAATTTAAACAATTTAAATTGAAATTACGTAATAAAAATTTTTGAAAATATTAAAAAGTTAGGGAAACTTATCTAGTTATATACAATTTAATAAAATATGTTTTATATTTATGTTTGAAAAATGAAAATGGCTAACGTGTATAAACTTAAGTCAGCCATGATTAAATTGAAAATTCTTTGATACAGTCACGTCATTTGTATTATTTGAGCCACTTCTTTTGTTCTAATTTTTTGCTATGTTAATGTTAGATAATATCCATTTTCCTCTGATTCGAATTTAATATATTAGTTGATCTCATTAAACGTTGTCGAATGTGATTTTATATTTTTCAGGTACTTATTTTAAATTGATGACTCGTAAAATAAAAAAATTTGACGAAATCTTTTACAATATCCCTGATGACGTAAAGCGGTATAAAATTTAAAATTTTTTGTATTTTCCTTAAAAACTCGATTTATTATTACTTAAATATGAATGACATTTATCATTTACTTGTTCAAACTGTATTTATATTTTTTCATACATTGGTTACGAGAAAAAAAAAAAAAATGTAAAATGAACAAAGAAAAAAATTAATGCAAAACAATTTTACAAGTGATACATTTAGCCTTAATTAATTAATAAATACGGACAAACAGTTATCAGTATAAAATCTTAAAATTAAAAATTATTTTTTAAACTAATTTAAGATCACATATAAAAATTATGGGGGAAAATTTTTTTTTTTTTTTTAACATAATTCAACTGTTAAAAAAAATGGTTTTAATTCTAACATAATTAACATTTAAAATTACCTAAAATTTTTTTAAAAAATGAAGAAAATAAAATTTTTTCGGTACCAATAACGTCAAAATTAATTTTATTAATTACTTTTTACTCTTTCGTTCGCACAGGACTTCTGCGAAAAATGTCTTAAAAATATTTACTCTTCCAATTTTTCGACTTTAATTTTTTCACTCGAATTTTATACATGTGTGACATTGCTACGTACATAGCTGAAAAAAAAAAAAAACAAAATTCTTAAAAAGGTTATTCAAAGACAGGAATTAAAAAAATAATTGACTAATTTTGTGTTTACGAATGGGTAAATAAAATTTAATACTTTCGGCAATCGGGGATTCAATATTATAATAAAATGTTTATGGGCAGGATCAACGTAAATAGAAACGTTTTTTTTTTTTTTTTTTTTTTTACTTTTTATCAGACGTATAAGGAACTTACCAGGAAAAAATAGAAGTAATAAATAAACTCTCATTGCGGTGGGAAAATGAAATGTAAAATTCCATGAGTTTGGTAAAGAAACAGTATATCGAAATGTTTCTTCAAAGTAGGGAATATTTCTGAAAAAAATATATATATGATAACTTTTTTTTTAAAAATATTTTTAATAATAGGTAAAGGTTTTTTTTTTTTTTATAATTTTCAAATTTAAAAAACTTTTCCAAAATTCAAATTCTTGAAGTATATAACAAACCTTAATATAATGACACCTTCGCAACATATTCCGAGTGGATACAAAGGGATCCACACAGTATATCTTAGCCATTTAAGGAAATTTATCTTAAATTTGTTTAAGTGCGTTATGTAATATATGTAACGAACAACTTCGACAAGGCTCCAAATGATAAAAAGATAGAAAACAACAGGTTTTGTTTGCATTCTTGGTTCACCTTCTATCATGAGAAATAAAATTACACATCTGCCACCAACCTAAAAATTTTATTTAATTAATTAATTAATCATTTTAATAATTTAATAATTTTTTTTTTTTTTTTGAATTTTGGACATTTGACAAAAAATATTTTGCTTTATTTTTAAATGAAAATGAAAATTTTTTTGTAATTTAAATTAAATGATTCCTAGAAATTATTTACATAATTGCTCACATTTTAATTATAACCAAAAAAAAATTATTAAATTATTTTCAGGTACATTCATTTTTAAATATACAGTTATAAATATCTAACCTGCAAAAAAGGTGCTAAAATTGAACTTTTGGTATAACCAAAAACTGGATGAAGGACTTCAAGCCACATAAACAGATGACATAATTTCATAATTGTCCCAGTATTTTCATAGGTTTCTGATACTGAATTAAAACCATTTTTTGAATATTTTACAGCTATCACTATTAGAATATACAAAAATCCGACTAATTGAAATAAATTGTAAACAACTAAATATACTTTTTTAAATTCCTCTAAAAAAAAAAAAAAAAAAAATTGAATTATTGCATTTTGATTATTGCTTAAAAGTTATATTAATACTGAGGGCTTTATTAAAACATGGGAATAGTTTTTTTTTGAATGGCAGTACTACCTATTTTATAGCCTTTTTCTTCCTTTTGCAGCTTATCATATAATTCTGGATAATCATCTAAAACATTTCTGTTATTATCATCATCAATATCTGGATCATTAACTTTCCATTTGTCAAAATCAACTTTTAGCCAAGCAGGCTTTTGAGGTGATCTTGTTAATCTAGGCCAAAATCCAAATTCAGCTTTTTTCAAAGAAAATTCAATTTCTCTATCCAATACTCTATAATGACTTTTCTAAATAGCAGTAAATAACAAACATTTTTTTTAAAAAAAATAAATTAACATTGAAAAATTTTATATTTTCCAAATTTCACAAACCCTTTTTAAAATCTCTTTCAGATGCTAATTACACTGCTCATTTGATTTTTAAAATATTACATTAATTATTTGGAAAATTGTGTATAATTTTTACAATTCTTAAAATTATGAAAAACTAATAAGTGATCTTTTATTATTATTAATAAGATGAAGATGGTGTATTGCTTAATAAAAGGAATTAATTTTGTAAATAATATGTAATATTTAAATTGAATGATGCTTAGAAAAAAAAAAAAAAAAAAAAAACTTACACTAGCATTCAATTTTGAAAAAAAGTTTAATGAAAAAGCATATTTATGCTCTCCCTTTGCTCCTTTTCCCACAGCAGAAAATGTTAATTTCTCTGATTCTAAGGTAATGTCAGCATTACTTGCATCTTTTAAGTCAACTTTCAATGATAACTGATCCTCTGTTTGTGCCCAATAAACAAATGGACTCAAAATTTCTGCCATTTCATATAAATAAATTCAGCAAATTCTTTGAAACAACAACAACCTTATTTTGATTTACACTGAGACAAAAAAAAATTTGAAGCTATATTGAAAAATGTCAATTAGTGCAAAATACAAAATTTAAATTAAAATTTTTTACCTTTATTAGCATTTATTTATTACAACATTTTGAAAAATTTTTAGTTAAGCTTAGTTTAAGTGGTGTTAATGTTATTTAGAAAACATTAAAAATAATTGAATAACTCTAATATCGCCTATTTAATATAATTAATATTATAAATTAAAAATTCAATGACATTAATTAGGCCATAATATTTCTAAGTAAAAAAAATTGAAATTTTTTATAATAGAAATATTATTATATTATAAACGAAAACTTTCATTTATTTATAACAATGCTACCAACACTGGTTAAGCTCAATTGAAACATATGTACTTTAACATAAGCAGAAGAATTTTATTTGAATCCGTGAAATGCTGACTTTTTAAAAGAAAACCGACTTTTCCGTTGTTGTTGTTGTTATTACTTTTAAATATGCATTGCAGTGTAAAGAATCTTTTTTATTTTTGCAGACAATTTAATACTTCTTGCATTCATAACCACGTTATAAAATTAACTAGACTCAGGGTAGTGGATAATTCAGAAATTGGAAAAGCAGCTATGATGCAGGGAAAACCTCCCAAATGCATTCATGTGTACAATAAGAAAGGCATTGGAACCGTGGGAGATAAAGTTTTAGTTGCTATTCTTGGTGAGAAAAAAAAAGCAATAATTATTGGTTGTAAACAAAAGCAACTACCTTTTATACCCAGATTTGATAGTAACAACATTGTATTAGTCGATGATTATGGTGAGTTATTGAATTGAAAACTACTGCACATATCACTCTTTTTCACATATCAAATTTACAATAATGGTATTATAAATTACATTTTAGGTACTCCTTTGGGTAACAGGATTCATGTTCCTTTACCACATGTTTTACGAACTGTTTTAAAGGAGAAAAGTTTTGGTAAAGGTGTTGATTACACCAAACTCTTAGCATTAGCCACTACATTTGTATAATTAGTTCAAGATGAATTCTTAAAGAAGTCTAATTTTAAATTATATTAGTTTTTTTTTTTTCTCCATATATTCTATAAAACATTTTTTTTAAGTAAAACATTATATATTTTTCACATTGTTATTTTTTTTTTTTAATTAGAACTTTTTTTTATAAAGCTTTGTAATTATAAATGTTAAATAGCAAAAAAACTTATTTAGAATTGATATCTATGGATGAGTGCCTATTCATACATAATATCAATTCATTTCTTAATGGTTTGTTTAACTTTTACGGAATCAGTTAAACTAATTCCAAAAAAATTTTTCACTTTATTGCTTCTAAACTTTTATTCCAGTTTTTTTTTTTTACAAAAGTGAGATTTTTGTTCTTAAAATTTTGCGTAAGCGTCAACAACCGAAAATATTAATAAAAATAATAGTTAAGGAACTATTGTTTTTCTTTAGGTTTTACTCAATGTAACTATTTTAAGAGAGTCATTAATTTAGAAAATTATACAAGAGCCGCAATGACCTTAAATCGACTCCTTTTTTTTTTTTTTTTATTAAATTATTTGTAAATTGTGTATCGGAAACCAGAGAATATAATCAATATATTTTTTAAAATTGATAAAAGAAAACTTTTTTATAGAAATTTCGTTTCATTTTTCAAAAAAAAATTGTGGCAAAAGACTTTTTCTTCTGCCACTTCACATTATTTTTTAGGCTGTTAATGTTTAACTTGTTCTTTAATAACTTATTTTTTTTTTTTTCGAATGAATAATATTTTAACGTGTTAAATAACTTTTCAAAATGTATTCAGTACTTAAAGGCTGCAAACGTAAAAATAGTTTAGCTTCACTGACAAGGTGCTGTTCTGTTCCTTTTAGAAATATTAACTGTACTGAAAATGAATTTACTTCAACTCCTGAGTATCCTCCTATAAACATAAATAAGGGTACCGTCGAGACCGAAAGACTTAAAGAATGGCATAAAAAAATATTAAGGCAACCTACTGTTGAAGAAAAGCTTTTTGAAGTTAATGTTCCCCGACGGTGGGGTTGGAAATGCTTTATGATTCACGAAGGAATCATACCGTACAATAATTTATCATTCAGTCAACATGCAACCAGAACGCATTTGGTGAAAACAGAAGCTTTGCCTTCTTATTATGAAAATTCAGCTGATAAGTGTATAGATTTAGCAAAAAAAATTAGGGATGATGTTGTAGACTCTATAGAATATCAATTGCATGTCAGGTATGTTGAAATTCATTAATTAAAATTGTGTGAAAATTCCTTACAATATATATATATATATATATATATATATATATATATATATATATATATATATATTTTAATTATTTATATTTATTGCAGATAGGTTATAATTGTATTTTTGTATGTTAATGAATTTTTTTTACAGTCCTTGATTGAGAATTCATAAAATTATTATTAATAATAATAATTGCTATTAATCGTTTATGAATTTCAGGCGAGAAAACATTTTTAAAAATCTAAACGATATGAAAAAAATAAGACAATTACAAAAAATTATCGTTGGTGAATTAAATAGAGTCATTCTTAATTGCATTCAGAACTCTGAAAGTGATGCAGTCCATCTTCAAACTGACTTTTCTCCTAGAATAGAAGCCTCTTGGAAAGTTAATAGTTTGGTAGAAACTGTAGTTAAAAAAGAATACAAATATGGAATTCCATTAAATGAGTTACCTGAAGAGTATCTTGACAGACCATCAGATAAGCTCATTCAATATATTGGAAAGCCTATTTTACAATTGAGATGTTCCAATCCTTTGCCACCTATAATAAGTAGTAAAGAAGCCAACATTTTCAATTATTCAGTACCTGTGTATGACTTTGATCCTCATATTACCTTGGGGTACACCATGGAGCGTAGGCATATTACAAATATTCCTGGTAAGTACAAAAATAAATTTTAATTTAATTTTTATCATATTTTTTAAAATTTTTCTACAATACTTATTAAAATATTTTTTATTAGAAATTAAATAATTTTTATTTATTATCATTAACAAGCCTTGTGCAAATTAATTTATTTTCTTTTTTATGATTTAGTATAATACAAAAGTCATTTTCTTTAGTCATTTTTAAAAAATCATAATCAGTCATATTTTATCAGTACATAATATTAATGTGTGCTTTATTAATTTATTTTGCTTTAAAAATATTTTATTTCCAGGTTTTTGGCCAGGGGAAAAAGAAGATTTTGGTTTTTTGTCTTATCATGATTTAAACCATGTTCATCACAGACCTTCCACTTATGGGTCGACCGATAAAGAAGAAGCCATTAGTAGTCAAATGATTTTTGCTTCTTTTGGATGGCTTATGCCTTTGGCTTGTTATCAAGGTAGTATTAATTAATGAAATTTATAACAATTTTTATTTTTAATTTTTTTTTTTTTTTTTAAATGAAAACTACGTTTTTTTATGTAAATTATTACTATTTAAAATTACTAATCATAACATGGGAAATTTTAAATTTAAATTGCGGACTAATGAAAATTTATTATTTATAAATTTTTAAGGATTTTCTTCTTATCACGATGTGACG